TATTTAATCATCAGCATGTCCCTTCAGTCTCCACCCTTGTGTGTTTTGATCTAACAAGTGCTCTGCAGTTCTCCGTGTATGACCATTGCTCTTGTTGACTGATCTGGTTCCCGACTCCGGCTATTGTTTCCATTCATCCTGCTCTCAGTATTCCCTGACCTGGTTTGGCTGACTACCCGCTTTGGCATCTGACTCCTGGCTTGGTATTGACGACGTCCTGGACTTCCTCCATTGTTTTTTGCCATTTATGTGTATTGTTGTTTTCAATAAACTTATTTTATTTTTTAAACCTGCACTATAAGTTTCTGTGTGGTTTCTTGGTTCCCTAACAATAGGCCTTAGGAACGTCACATGTTTCTGAGTCAGAGGAGCACCACCCAAGGCCATGGTGTCACATAGCCTCAGTTTGTTTTAATGGAATATCAAGCTACAGACTCTGGGGCAATAAAGAAATTATTATTATTATTACATAGTATTTATATAGCGCCAACAGTTTGTGCAGCGCTTTACAATATAAGGAAGACATTACAATCACAATACAATTCAAGAGGTAGCTGTGGAAATTAATTATTTGACAATGTGAAGGTTCAGTGGTTAGGTCGAGGTGGGATAGGCTTCCCTGAAGAGATGAGTCTTTAGGGAACGCCTAAAGGCAGTCAAGGTGGGAGATAGACGGACATGTTGGGGTAAAGAGTTCCAGAGGATGGGAGAGACTCTAGAGAAATCCTGGAGGACTTCTGGAGGTCCTGGATTTCAGAATGAGCAGGAGATGATGAGTGCAGTAATAGGGAGAGGGCAGGAGAGAGGGTGAAATATATATATTGTGTGGTAGAGAGGTGGGGTAAAGAAAAAACAATTTTAGAAGAGAGGCCCAAATAGTGAGAAGTAGAGGTGGAGAATTCATGTTGAGAGGAGCGAAGAAATCAGAATTTGGATATGTATATTTTCAGATATGTTTAATTTTTAACGGAGAGTGTGACCTTCCTTACCCCTTGGCTGTGCAGAGTAAGTAGAAGGCAATAGAATGAATGAGGAGTAGGAATGAAAGGGGTGGCAGTATGCAAAGAGAGGGGTATGGAAAAGGTTAAAGTGTGATAGTATTAGTGACAGGGGAGTGATAGATGCAAAGCAGCAGCTGGGCATCTGCATGTTAGTGAGGTAAAGTTGTATTGTGTTCCTATATAGGTAAAGTGCACCATGGGGTTGGTGGGAGAGCTGATCTGCAGGGCTGCTGAGAAAGACAATCTGTTTGAAGAGGTGAGGGAAAGAAAGTTAGAGTGAGAAAAAAAAATAAACTGTCAACAGGTTGTTTTTTTTCCTTCAAAGTACAAATAAGGGGTCGGGGGCAAATTAGCATGATCTGAGTCAAGGTTAGAAAGGCATGAAATAGGTATCTAAATAAAGCTAATCACCTAAAAGATCAGAGAAGAGGAGATTAAGAGAATAAAGAGAATAGTACATACAATATAATGACATTAGGGTAGTGGACTTGTAGAGGTAAAGTTTGAAAGCTTGATGTTCATCTTAAGTTTTCCATCCACCTTGATTCCTAATTGTTACAGAAGATAGGTGAGAAGGCCTCAGGGATGTTGAAGAGTGGAGTGGGAGTGCTGATCGGCAGAGTGTGCAGCTGATCTGCAGGACTGCTGAGAAAGACAATCTTGATTCCTAATTGTTGCAGAAGATAGGTGAGAAGGCCTCAGGTATGTTGAAGAGTGGAGTCGGAGTGCTGATCGGCAGAGTGTGCAGCTGATCTGCAGGACTGCTGAGAAAGACAATCTTGATTCCTAATTGTTGCAGAAGATAGGTGAGAAGGCCTCAGGGATGTTGAAGAGTGGAATGGGAGTGCTGATCGACAGAGTGTGCAGCTGATCTGCAGGGCTGCTGAGAAAGACAATCTGCTTGAAGAGGTGAGGGAAAGAAAGTTAGAGTGAAAAAAATAAATAAACTGTCAACAGGTTGTTTTTTTTTTCTTCAAAGTACAAATAAGGGGTCGGGGGCAAATTAGCATGATCTGAGTCAAGGTTAGAAAGACATGAAATAGGTATCTAAATAAAGCTAATCACCTAAAAGATCAGAGAAGAGGAGATTTAGAGAATAAAGAGAATAGTACATACAATATAATGACATTAGGGTAGTGGACTTGTAGAAGTAAAGTTTGAAAGCTTGATGTTCATCTTAAGGCTGGGCACACACCTTACAACCATCGCAAGACTTTTGTCTTGCGATGGTTGTAAGGTACTTAAAAAAACGTACGATCTGCCTATGTTGCATAGGCAGATCGTACTTGCGATGATCGCAAGCCACGCCCCCTGAGGGGCGGGCTTCCGATGACCGCAATGCCGAACGGGCAGTGTGCGCTTGCGCACACCGGCCCGTACGGCTGTTATCGTACGGACATGCCACAAACCCGCCGAACATCGTACGATGCTCGGCGGGTTTTCGAACATGTCCGTAAGTTTAAAGTCGTGCGACCTTACAGTAGTAGAGGTCGCATGGCTTCCACACACCTTACGATAATCGTACGATCGCGGGATTTCCCGCGATTATCGTAAGGTGTGTGGGGACCTTAAGTTTTCCATTCACCTTGATTCCTAATTGTTGCAGAAGATAGGTGAGAAGGCCTCAGGGATGTTGAAGAGTGGAGTGGGAGGGCTTATCGGCAGAGTGTGCATCTGATCTGCAGGGCTGCTGAGAAAGACAATCTTGATTCCTAATTGTTGCAGAAGATAGGTGAGAAGGCCTCAGGGATGTTGAAGAGTGGAGTGGGAGTGCTGATCGGCAGAATACCAATTATAACACTGTATCCAGCCCATGCTATACTGAAAGTGATCAATCCTCCATTAATCGAATACAGAAAACGTAAAACCATATATCACAACTTCTGGTTCCAGTTCCCGTGTGAGAGGCAGTGGGGTGACAGCGCTCCGTACACTACGTGGTCTTTTGAATAAAAAATCTGCTACTCAGGTTTGTCTGCTATTATGTTCAGATTTCATTATGAATATGTTTACTGTTCACATTTTTTTTATTTGCAATGTAACTCTCTTTTATCACTCTTTGATGCTTGGTATATATTTACTGCTTATGTGGCCCACTTTGATGCATTATATTTTGCTGTTACTGTGAAGTAGACATGTGCACAGCATAAACTAACGAAACTAATGAATTTGATGAAACAAATAATTATGTTGTTTCGGATTTAGAGGCAACAAACCTCTGAATCGAAAGGCGCACAAAAGTAAAATATGCAGTGGCCATCTTGGAGGCACGGAGCATGATGTCATATGATCGCGCCCTTACATACGTCATACGCATATGGTGCCCATACAAAACAAAATATTATATGCCCGGATATAGTTTTTTGGATATTCGAGCATATAATAATTCGTTATTAACGAATTAACAGAATTTCGTGATTCAGCAAGTTCATCCGAATCTGAACGCACATGTGTACTGTGAAGTATTTTAATTAAAATGACCTTGACTTAAAATAAAAAAAAGATGCCTAAGAGGGGATCTGATTGCATGTTACAAACTCATCAATAGGGACTGCAGTATAGGGAATAAAATGTTTAAACTAAGATCTCACATGGACCTGTGAAGATTACATGTGTACACAACAAGAAGATGCATAAAAGTTTTCTTTTTTTTTGCATAGCAGTACAAATGTTGAATTCCCTTCCGCAGTTTGTAGTATCAGATGAAAACATTGTATACATTGATACAGGAATTTTTAGCAACATGTGTACACACACACATAGGTTGAACTGGATGGACTTTTGTCTTTATTCAACCTTACCAACTATGTAACTATATGTAAAATACAAGAATTCTTACTTGAACCTTCCTATTGAAAAAAATATAATGCTTGTTCAACAGCACTGTGCCATGGGCAGACTTATGGTTGGAAGACAGCACTTAAGACAGGAAAAGGACAAAAGCACACTGAAAGCCTGAACACCTCCCACAGGAATCAGAACCAAACAAATTGGGAATGAATACCTGAATAACAGCAATCCAAGGAGGCAGTAGCACAAAGGACAGGGAGAAGCAGGATAGGACCACAAGTTGCAGGACACATACTAGCTAACAGAGAAAAAGAGGGGGTTTAGAAACACCTAATGCACTGCCCCAACCCTGCCTCCTGACATATCTCTCATGCCATGTAATTCCCTTTCAAATTTCACAAAGGGTGAAGACGGGCAGAAGCACTCACAAAGAGTCTACCTGGGGGAATGGAAGTGATATCAGATACCACTCCACTCTATCTTCCAAGCTAGTCAAGAGAGGAAACAACAACAAAAGTACACAGAAATATTAAGCCCTAAACAGAAGGAAATCCTTACAGATAAAAGTAAGGCAGAAAAAGAAAGGAAATCATTTGAAAAGGGATAAGCAAAGTCAAGATATAGGAGAAGAAAACACAAGGGATCCGCAAACTAGCAACAACATAATTATGCCATTCATAATAAACCCTGACACTTGGGCTGCCCTGGGTAACATGTATTTAGCAATCACACAAGGGCCCTCACACTAAAGGAGGCTGAACCTGGGACGGGAGCGGGTTGCAACACAGAAAACGTAACAGCGTCTTTTGTAGATGGAGATCTTTTATAGCTGGGTAGTAGTGAGGGAGCTCAACTCATTCAACTTCACAGAGAACAGTGCCTGAAAAGTCAGTTTAAAATTTAAACACATTTTTCCCACAAAATGCTTTTTCTACATAAGCATTCAGTATACAGTGGCATGTCCATGGGCATGTCCCTAGTTTGCAGCAGTAAGCAAAATTTAGAAAAGATTGGTAATAGATTTTTTTTATCGTATACGCATATAGCAGAATATTAAACTCTTCAGTTTAAATTATTACTATAAAGCTGTGAATGTATCCAGGTTATTTTTATCTTATATTCTTGAAAGGCAAGTTTATGTGCCACTGTACCATGAATTATCCTAAAATTGTGCGTGTTGTAATAATGTTTTATGTTCATTTTCTCCAGGTGAACTTTGTCAAGCTACTGTTATTATGAAGAATAGAACAGATGAACTGGAAGAGCAAAATACGTATGTGATTATTAGATATGCTAATTGTTTGTTTTGCACAGTTTTACTGATCACTGCTGTTAGGAAACCTGTAGCCATTGTTCACTCAATGACCCCTTATCATAACTTCTCTGGATAATTTTAACGAATTTTAATATTTGTATGTAGCTTTTCAAAGAACAAAGCTATTTGATAGACAAATTGTTCCCAATACATAATTTAGAGCAAAACCAAAGATAGCTTGGTTACCAGACTCCCACTTCTAACATATTTTACATGGATATTACCTATTGACAAAGCCCACACAAATCATATTTTTGCATGAAAACTGGAAGAAAGAAAGATTATTTTTCCGCCAATTGCAACTAGTTAAATTCCAGTAGTCATACAGTTTAGAGAAGGAAAAATGTATATTGCCAGCTGCTAAACGTTTGTGTTCCTTTGGTTTTCAAGAGCTAGTGTGAACTTCATGTGAAATCTACTAATTGTACAGAAGATAAAACAGTAGGCCTAACTTTTTCCAAAGTTTATTGAAATTCAATGTCACCAACCACTGATATTTTAGATTTGTGTTATTTCTTGCATCACACGCAAATTACTTGTATGTCTCAGAGGTAAGTAATAGCCCAGCAACATCTCTTGTCCTGTCAAACGATGATAACCTAAAATAAACAAATTTTACCAATAAAATACATATAAAAATACACCATACTACTATGAACAACTAAAAACAAATATATAAATAAGTGAAGAAAAATAATCAATTCCTTCACCTAAAACTATAAATGCAAAATGCCTGCAAATATATATTAACATATAATAAAAATTATTTAAATAAGTGTGTATTATGCATTCTTCCACAGTTCAAGTGTCCAAAAAAAGGTGGCAGTACTGCATTCAACAAGTCCAACCAGAAGCAAATTCCACTTTCATTGTGGTCAATTACCATTTCAGGGAAGGAGCTCAGCACAATTGTCACGGAAGGGGAGCTCGCCCATGGCAGCTCTCTAACCGAAGCGGGTTTCTCGTCCGGAGGAGGAGGACGCTTACTTTGGGCTAATAAAACACTGTTGTGAAACAATTGTCACAGTGTGTACTACCACAGCCTGCCTCTGGAGGGCAGCACACCCAAAGTTAGCTTACTGAACACACACACGCAGATACAAATCTTACATACACTCTAAGGGCTGTGTAGCAGCCAAGTGATTAACACACTTCTGTGATTGCTCAAGCTATCCTACAAGCTAGAATCCTTGTGTTACCATTTTCCCACTGCTCACACACCCACCCACACCAGCAGGGATAAAGTTAGACTACTGAACACACACACGCAGATACAAATCTTACATACACTCTAAGGGCTGTGTAGCAGCCAAGTGATTAACACACTTCTGTGATTGCTCAAGCTATCCTACAAGCTAGAATCCTTGTGTTACCATTTTCCCACTGCTCACACACCCACCCACACCAGCAGGGACGGTGCAAGGATTTTTGCCTACAGAGGCGAAGGTCCATTTTTGCAACCCCGCACCCCCCCCCCCCCCCCTGTCAAGCTACTGTTATTATGAAGAATAGAACAGATGAACTGGAAGAGCAAAATACGTATGTGATTATTAGATATGCTAATTGTTTGTTTTGCACAGTTTTACTGATCACTGCTGTTAGGAAACCTGTAGCCATTGTTCACTCAATGACCCCTTATCATAACTTCTCTGGATAATTTTAACGAATTTTAATATTTGTATGTAGCTTTTCAAAGAACAAAGCTATTTGATAGACAAATTGTTCCCAATACATAATTTAGAGCAAAACCAAAGATAGCTTGGTTACCAGACTCCCACTTCTAACATATTTTACATGGATATTACCTATTGACAAAGCCCACACAAATCATATTTTTGCATGAAAACTGGAAGAAAGAAAGATTATTTTTCCGCCAATTGCAACTAGTTAAATTCCAGTAGTCATACAGTTTAGAGAAGGAAAAATGTATATTGCCAGCTGCTAAACGTTTGTGTTCCTTTGGTTTTCAAGAGCTAGTGTGAACTTCATGTGAAATCTACTAATTGTACAGAAGATAAAACAGTAGGCCTAACTTTTTCCAAAGTTTATTGAAATTCAATGTCACCAACCACTGATATTTTAGATTTGTGTTATTTCTTGCATCACACGCAAATTACTTGTATGTCTCAGAGGTAAGTAATAGCCCAGCAACATCTCTTGTCCTGTCAAACGATGATAACCTAAAATAAACAAATTTTACCAATAAAATACATATAAAAATACACCATACTACTATGAACAACTAAAAACAAATATATAAATAAGTGAAGAAAAATAATCAATTCCTTCACCTAAAACTATAAATGCAAAATGCCTGCAAATATATATTAACATATAATAAAAATTATTTAAATAAGTGTGTATTATGCATTCTTCCACAGTTCAAGTGTCCAAAAAAAGGTGGCAGTACTGCATTCAACAAGTCCAACCAGAAGCAAATTCCACTTTCATTGTGGTCAATTACCATTTCAGGGAAGGAGCTCAGCACAATTGTCACGGAAGGGGAGCTCGCCCATGGCAGCTCTCTAACCGAAGCGGGTTTCTCGTCCGGAGGAGGAGGACGCTTACTTTGGGCTAATAAAACACTGTTGTGAAACAATTGTCACAGTGTGTACTACCACAGCCTGCCTCTGGAGGGCAGCACACCCAAAGTTAGCTTACTGAACACACACACGCAGATACAAATCTTACATACACTCTAAGGGCTGTGTAGCAGCCACGTGATTAACACTGGCCTCAGCCTGCTCCGATGCCTGCATAGGTAATGCTAGGGCCCGGCGCTGCTATGGCCGGCCTCCTTCTGCGCTGCAGGGGCCCGTCCACCTCCTCGCTTGCAGGGCCGGTACAAGGATTTTTGCCTACACAGGTGAAGATGCATTTTTGAGACCCCCCCGGTGCCCTCAGACAGCTGGCTATGCAGCCTTACACTAGTGCCGGCCCTGACCACATTGCTCAGTCTACCCAAAAACCTGGAGGCATTTCCTCACTAGGAGCAAATTGCACTTTAAAGGCTGTTCACTTTTCTGACTATGTTTTATGGTACACCCATATTTAGCGTATAACATGAAACATGGTCAGATTGCAACCCCCCCCCGCCCGCCTCACTACC